AACACATACCTACTTGCCAGTGGTAACAGCAAAAGAGAAGTAGGCACAGTTACTCTTAGGGAAGACTTTGCCCCACGGTGCAGAGAAATTGATCTTCACACGGGCATCCAGGTTGTATCTTTCCCTTCTTTCCTCCATACTCCTCACCTTTTTTTAATCCTTTGCATCACTGATGTAATTTATTAAGCACTTACAATGTATAAAGCATAGCAACATAGTGGGTAACGTGTTGAGCTGTTAACTGCTAGGTCAGTGATTCAAAATCTCCAGCTGCCCCTCGGGGGAAAGATGACCGTGACTGCTCCCATAGAGATGCAGTCTTGAAAATACACAGTGGCAGCAGTACTCTGTCCTATAAGGTTGCTGTGAGTCAGCAATGACTCAATGGTAGTGAGTTTTGGGTGCTGGTTGGTGCAAATGCAGCTACAAACCAAAACCCAAACCAAGGAGCAATGCTGTATCTCAATAAAACTTTATAAAAACAAGCAAATGTCTGAAGTGGCATGCAAGTTCTATGTGCCTACATGCATACTCTGTTGTTGTTAGAAGAATATTCATAGCTTTGTATAGCTTCTCAAATACATTCAAATTCAAGATGGTAGGTAATGACTGGTCTAACATATCCAAGCAGCTCTAAACTCGGTCATTCCAGGATTCTATACTTCTACATGAATGAACACTCTCCTTAGCAGGCTCATTTGTAGGATTTTGCTGTGAAGTCCTAAAGGGACTTTAATTACTGTATATTGAGAAAGAAATGTAGGACACATTGCCATTTCAACAATCCTTGACCAAATTTTGCTGGTTATAATACAAATACATTCCATATTCCCATTCAGCAGCTCAGTCTTACATCAGCTGAACTGATGCTGCTAAGATTTGTTTTAGCAAGTGGTTCCTTTCCCCAGGAAGCACTTTCTGTGCTCTATGGAGCCGTCACTACAGAAAGGGGCTTAAAGATCCTGATCACACTTAGTCACAGCTTACACCCCAGCATGGCCAGGTAGGTTGCCGAGGAGAGGGGTTATATGTGCCTTTGCATAGTACCTTTCTGCATCTGTTCAGTACTCTCTCTATCTCGCAAGGAAACATGATTGTTTCTCTTAGGAATTCACAGTTTCATAAATTAGAAAGAAGGATGATTTGAAGCTATATCAGCAGTTAACTTTATCCTGCTTCACAGTCTAAGAGCTTGTTTTTATAACTAGAAATTTTGGGGACAGATTTCTAATTATGTCCCATTATGTCTACCACAGAGCCTGACTCCATGTTGTACAGGAAGTAGAGGCATTAAAGAAATCATTGTTTTAGTTTATTAGCAGTGAGATCCCTGGAAGCCACTGACTGCCACTGAGTCAATTTTGACTCATAGCTACTGTAGTGGATAGGAATAAACTGCCCTAGTGGGCCTCTGAGCCTTCAAATCTTTATGGGAACAGAAAGTCTTATCTTTCTCCAGCAGAGAAGCTGGTGGTTTGAGCTATTGCCCTTGTGTTTAACCCCCAACCACATGTTTAACCCCCAACCACAGTCAGTTTTAAATTCTTGCATCACTTTTGAAAATCAAAATGATGGTTGTCCAATCAACTTGAATTAAAGAGCAAAACTGGACCACCTGCTTTCAAAGCAAGGAAGAACAAATCCTAACTATCATAATGTTTCACACACATTCTAGGTGCTTGAGGATACAGAAGGGGCTAGCAGCAGAGAAGAGTACAAAGGGAGGAAGAAAGGGCAGAAAATGGAAGAGGAGCGAGAAGGAAACGGGAACACAGAGACAAAGAGGGTCACAGAAGGAAAAGATGAAGGTAGAATGAGTCTACATCCTAATCAACTACTGCAGGGTGGAAATTTGCTATCATTAACATGCAGCTATTTCTCACAGCAAGTGCCCCCCAAAGAAGGAAATAAACTAGCAAATGAAAATAATGGGAGTATAAATCATTTAGCCAGTACTTATAAATGCGCTATTCTACATTAAACCCCAATGTACATAGCTTAGTGTTAGCTCTCTGAAATGAAATATCAATAAGGGGACCACATGGTGCTGACTGCGCCCCCGACTAATATTTCAGTCCAGCTTTAATGATCACTTTCATCTGGAAGCAGCGTGGTTCCATGTAAATAGAAATGGGTCATGCGAGGCTTGGACACTTGTCCGGATGTATGACCTTGGTTGGCTAAGTTCTGTGCCTCAGTTTCCTTATTTTCCAGTTGCAAACAACAATTCTCTGCTCTGCTCCCCTCATATGTGTGTCAGGAGGATAAAAAATAGAAATAGATGTATTTCTGTTTGGATGAGTGTGAAATACCAGATACATGTAGCATTGACCTTCTTCTCCTTACTTAACAAGGTAGTGGGTAGGCGTGGGGTGGGGACGATGGCATTTTGCACAGAGGGCTTGGTGACTCAAAGAAGTGTCTTTTTGTCTCCCCTCTGTATTATCTGGTGTGAGATTATTACTGCTTTCTCGATGATTTTAGACATACTTTTCCCCTTCAGAAATGCCATAGGTGAAAAATACTATTCCACTGCTATCATTTGTCACCCTTGCTGCCTGAGCAAGACGTGCATAGACAGTTTAGTAATTAAGCTTTTCAACACTGCATCATAAAGTTTTATTCCAGCAAAGGCTATATTTATCAGCTAACAAGTATTAAATCATCCCACTGCTAAAGCCGTTTCTCACTTGAATATGCTCCTTTCAAAACAGAGCAGCTCTCCTTGGCTGGCTTAGTTAAGAAAAGTCCATGTTTGGAAATATTGTGATGATGTGGGGTCCTCTGGGGCTGACATACATACACCTTAGCAACTGTTGCAAATGGTGTTGACCTCTCTGTCCCAGGGGTGTGTGATACTTCAACCCCCTGCTCTTTTAGGGCATTCAGGCCATGGAGTTTCAAATTTCTGTGGGATGGCTTCTAGCCCAATGTAGTCACATATCCTTTTCATTTCCAATGGGAAAGAAATAAATGAAAATAAAGAACATAAGCATTTTGTCCAGTTTATTTCCTTACTTGACTATCAGGGAATTGGCCAGCTTCTATCAGAGATGGGCTGTATATGTAAAGCGAGTGTTTTAATTGGTGGAAGTGGGACAGGGACAGCAGTAGTCCAGAGAGTCTGCAGAGTTATTCCTCCGCTCCTTAGTGCCACAGCCTTCTCAAGGCTGGTGCAGGGTTACTGGAGAAGACACTTAGAATCAATGCACTTTCATAGTCATCAGAAACAACTCCGAAGAATGCTGTCTCTAAGTACCCCGTTCCACTCCTTTCAGTACGTCTTCTCTCCTTGGGTGGATATAAACTCACAAAAGGAGTATAACATTGCTTTTGGTGGTTCAGGATTTTTCGGTCTAATGACTAAAACTACAATTGTTAAAAAAGTTGCTAACTGAGAATAACTTTTCTGCCACATTTTAAAAGAAAGGGACATCACTGTCAATAAGTTGGACACCGGCAGCAAGTTCAATTGGCAAAAGGCGGGTGATCGATGTAGTCACGACCATGACCAAACAAACAAACGGGATGGAGTGGCTGCTTTCGTGAGGTTTCGTTCCTTGCTCCAGAGGTTTATCATAGGACATCTCCGCGAAACCGCCCGAGTACATGTTTAGTGTTCCTCGTGCGTGCCTGGAGTCTTAAAAGTGTTCAAGTGGCCATCCATCCGAGACACAGCACCTGGAACAATAGAGGAAGAAATGGAGGGGTGGGGATGTGTGGCTCATCGCCTCCATGAGCAACGCGCCTGCTTTGCTGTGAGACTAGAACTGGCGCAGAATGATGGCTGCCTACCATTCCTGAATGTTTTAATCAAATACTCCTTAGAAGAATTCTCATCAACATGAGGGAAAGGAGGCTCAGAAATTTCCTATTCTCACAGATTCCAGACTTTCTGGAGTCATGAAGGCTGGATGGACATTTGAAACTACTACTCTGAGATAATCTTCAAGTCTCAAGCCAAAATGATTCCCCGATGGCTTCACAAGACTGAGCAGTAGTTTAGCGTTATTTTACCTAAGAAGGGTCTGCATCGAGTCTTACACTCTTTACAGAACTATCTCTATGGGATCAGACTGATGATAAAACTCAAACCAGACTCACTGACACTGAGTTAATTTTGGACTCATGGTGACTGTACAGAAACTCAAAAGATTACCTAGAAAGTTTAGGGGGGCAGTGAGGTTTTGTGAACGATGGGGGATACCTCCAAAAAGAAGGGTGGCAGGCAAGTCACGTCACTAGATAGTACACATGGAAACTGTTGAACTGACGTTTTTCTGTGTGTATTCTCAACAATAACAACCTGAATAAACTCTACAGAAAAAAAGAAGTAGAAAGCCAAGTGTAAAATAGGGACCAAAATGAAGGGGGGAAAAATCTCATTCATTACTTTTCATCTTGTCAGAAGGACTGCATTAATTTCCCTTTCCATTTCTGACTTTCAAAATAAGTGGTACTGACGTCATGTAGGGATTTAAGTTTTCCGCTACTTGGTTGCTAAAGGACACACGCAATTCCATGCCACAACATTCCCCCAAACCACTCTGCCAATCATAAGCAAGTTCCGATGGTGTCTGAGTCTACAGAGCAGTGAGCATTTCAATGTGAAACTTTCACGACTGACTACAAAGATAGTAAGTCTTTTTGTTGAACTTTTCTTCTTTTGAGAGGGTGAAACAAATTCTTCCTCTTCGAAATTATAATACAGAACTCCTCGTCGTGCTTTTCAAATCAGCAACAGGCAGCTTGTTTGGAAGGCTAACGATCAATTCTCTCCAGTCAGCAAGTCATGGGGTCAAGTCACTGAAGCTTGTGGGTGACATGCGGAACACTAAGTTAGCACATATTGAACTATTTTAAGTGCATCTATTTTCTGGTTCAGCAAGTTTTTTGGTGGGGGGAGGCTGTGTTAAATTCATTAGAAGTGACACAGTCTACTGTCTAAATGTCACAGGCGATACTAGAGAGCACATGAAGAAAACAGCATGAGCCACAGGAAAAGGAGAAAGATAGATTTATTTTCTATTTACTTTTTCTCTTTTATATTAATATGAGATTCTTAAAGGTTAAAAAGTACTGTGTAATTTAAAAAGTCAAGTTGAATATAGTTCTTTTCTTTTCTTTTTTGAATATGGTTATTGTCTGAACATCTGAAGAGGCTTCCTTGTCAGTCAAGTTGTCCTCCAAACCTCGATTCTAGAGATGATGATGAAGTTGGCCTCCGATTCAGGCTCGTTTAATAACTTGGGAGGGAAATGAGAAGGCAAATTGTACTGTAAGCCATGGTTTGCAGGAATCTTCTAGTTCAGTAATTTGCAAAAATAGTGATTCAAGGACATATTTGAAGGTCTACAATGAGGTTTTGATAGTAATTATCCTTTATTTGGAATTAAATTTTCAACAGACTAATAAAAGCTTTGGAACATGAACTTTTACTTTAATGTGATATAATTTTTGAAGGATCATTTGTTATTCTTAAGCACTACTTTTCCTCCAATAAAGTATAGTCATGGTAATTCAGACAGTGTTGAAAGGTATAAGGTACAAGGATTTTTATTCTAGCATAGGCTGTAACTATTGATATTACATACTTTATTTTACATTCCAAATGAAAAATGACAATAAGTGAAGAACAATTTTCCAGAATTTTCTCTCAACAAAATAGAAAGCCAACTATGTAATAGCAGAATATTGTGAACACAAACCCCCAAGGGACAGGTAGAGAACAAGGATTCTGCTACTAAATGAGGCTCTTGACAGCTTCCAAAACACAAAGGGCAGAAGTTACGCAGCCGTCGAAGTTGGACTGAGTGAACCCATCTCCTGCACATACTAGGAAAGGCTTGTGATGCAGAGTCATTTGGCCGGGGCAGCTGGCAGCAGCATTTGTGACCTGAAAAAGAAAAAAGATGGCTTGCTATTGACATCCCATGATCCACGATGCTGCCACAGCAATATGCCACTGGGCGAGGCTCTTCTACCTGGAAAAGGCAAACTTTCTCACAGGGAGGGAAGGGAAACAAGGCTCAAACCTTCTCCCTGATCACAGATTGTTCAAAATTCCAACCATGCAACACACTCAATTGAATTCCATTATTCAATACATACTTCATCATATAAAGGTCAGGATATGCTAAATTAGTTGGGAGTACAGTTTTATGATATTCATCAAATCATTCATCAATGATGTAGTATCTGCTGTGTGCTAACCAGGGGGATATAAAAGAAACTAAGATGTGGCAACTAGTTCACCGTTCAGCATGCCTGGCCAGCACCTAACAGTGGGGGTTAAGAACAAAACACAGAAAAGGGCCCAACCCAGCTCATGGGGACACAAAATGCTTAAAAGGGAGCTGACTGGCCATTTTGCTTGAGTTTCCAAGTATGTTAGACAGGGTTTTCTAGAGAAAGAAAACCAGAATGCTAATAATTTTATATATTTATATAGATAGATAACATAAGAAATAAACAGTTAACTAATGTATAAAGATGCACAAATGGGCCAGGGCAACTCACTACCGTGAGACAGCTGTGAAACACTGGCAGTCCTTCAAGTCTTGAGGGCCGCTGGGCTGTTCTCTGGAGAGCAATTCAGGCTATCTGGCCACAGGCAGCAAAGAAGAAGGCAAGTCACCAACAGTCAGCCAGACGACAGGGTCTGACAGTCCCCAGCTCAAGAGATGTAAGTTCCAATTTGAAGGAACCTCAAATTACAGCGACACAGGCCACAGGTCAGGTGTCCCACAGGTAGGTCGTTTGCAAATTGAGGCATCTCTCCGCCCTTCAATTAATCCCGCACGTGTTCATTGGCCATGTTGGCACAATAAACCTACATATCATACCAAGGGATATAGTAAGAGTTCCTCGTCAAGGAAATAGGAGCAGGTCACTCCAATGAGAGGAAGCAGAACTGCCTGACTCTATGGGCCAGGTAGGGCAAAGTGTGCTTCAGAAACTCTGGGGCAAATGAAAGTGTGTGTGCTAGTAGAGAGGAGGCGAAGTGGGGCTGGGTAGGAGAAGGAGAGGTGACAACCTAGAAGGGATATAATTTCTCAAGATAAAAAATCTATACAACTAATCAATTAAAATATAATTTTTCTAAATATAAATCTATATAATTAATACATTTAAGAATGTTTACTAATGATGTAGAAGAGGAGTTCTGATGGTGTAGTAGGCTGTCCACTAAGCTGCTAACTAGAAGGTCAGCAGTTCAAACCCACCCACTGCTCCTTGGGAGCAAGATGAGGCTGTCTACTCCTATAAAGATTTACAGTCTCAGAAACCCAAAGTGGGCAGTTCTACCCTATCTTATGTTAGGAGTTGGAATCAACGTAGGACCATGAGTAAGAATGATATATAGTTGACTACTTATGAACAAAAAGGAAGAGAATCAATCAATGTGTGGGATTTATTTTATTTTGTAGCATCAAGTTCAAAATATTTGAAATGATGAGACAGATAATATTTCCTGGAAAAAATCATGCTCAAAATTAGAATAGATGCTTTTAATAAGCAATCCAAGTGAGGAGAATGATAGATGAATCAAATTTTCGTGGACACTGACTGAGATGGTTTGGCCACTGAAGCACTGAAACACCCTTAAATGCCCCCAACCCCCACCCCCCAGGTTGTTGTGAAACCATCTCACTCAGAACAACATCACATATCTTTAGGGGGTGCCATTTATAGAGGTTACAACATGATATATTTAGTTTCTCTTATGTAGTCTTTTCATGTATAGTCATAAGGCAAGGGCCATAAGAATTTGTTTGCTTAAAATCAAAAGAAAAAATGTAATAAATGCTAATTGAACTTTTTGAACACTGACAATTTGACCTTAGACAAGCAAAGTTAATATATATTTTTATTTATATGCTATTCAGGCAGTCCCCAGGTAATGAGCAAGATCAACCCTGTGTGTTTAAGAATCTGCAGGTAAATCAGATTAGGTTCTTCCATATGCTGAGGAAAGGAACCCAAAGTCTCACAGTGGGTTGAACCGCTGAACGCAAGGTCATCAGTTTCCACACTGCAGGAAATGATGAAGCTTTCTGCTCCCATAAAGATTTACAGCCTTGAGATTCCTATGTAGGTCCACTATGCATCAGAATACACCGTGTGTGTGTGTGTGTGTGTGTGTGTGTGTGTGTGTGTGTGTGTATGTATGTGTGTTTCCGCCCTTTGGTTTGGTATAGGGAAGGAACCTTGGTGGGTTAGTGGATTATGCCTTGGGCTACGAACCCAAAGGTCAGCAATTTGAAGCTACCAGCTGCTCGGCAGGAGAATGATGAACCTTTCTGCTTCCATAAAGATCTACAGCCTCAGAAGACAGCAGTTCAACTCTGCCTTGAAGTGTCACTATGAATCAGAATTAATTGGTGACAATGGGTGGGGTTAGCATAAGGAGCTTTGGTGGTGAGGTGGAGGAAAGGAGGGCAATTTGAATCCACTGGCTGCTCTTAGGAGAAAGATGACGCAGTCTGCTTCTGTAAAGATTTACAGGCTTGGAAACACCAGGAAGCAGTTCTACTTGGTCCTGCATGAGGCTATGAGTTGGAATAGACACTAGGACAGTGAAATTTAATGCAAAAGAGCTGCGTGTGCAGCAAGTGTATGTGCTTGTGATGAAGACTTTGTCTGACCAAGGGTTAATTCTATCTTTTCCAAGTGGGGGAAATTTATATAACATTGTAAGTAGGAGTTGTCTGTACATCGGAAGTTCCTAATCCAGGGACTACCAGTATTTCACTCTTTGACAAAGAGGTGATACTATTCTTTTCCTTATGGAACTTCTAAAGATACACACTCAAGACACAGCATACAATGTCAAAGCAGTGTGCTCTCACTTTCTGAAAGTCACCTAATAAAGCAGCATTGTCTATTCTAACTAGTATAACTCTGATACCTAAAGTGGGCAAGGATCCCACAAGATTTGAGAACTACATAGCAATATCCCTAATGAACAGCAATACAAAAATCCTTAACGAAATACTGGCCAATAGAATACAAAAGCATATAAAACAAATAATTCACCATGACCAAGTATGATTCATACCAGGGATGCAAGGATAATTCAACATACGAACTACCATTAGTATTATTCACCACATTGACATGAAAAATTATATGAACCACATGATAATATTAATATATGTGGAAAAAGGATTGGACAACATCCAGCACCTATTTCTATTTAAGACACTCAAGAAGGTAGGAATGGAAGGAAAATTCCTCAATATTATACAAGCTATATATGAAAAACCAATAGCCAATGTGGTAATCAATGGAGAAAAGACCTCCACTGAAAAAGGGGACCAGACAAGGATGACCCTTGTCCTCACTCCTATTTAACATCATATTGGAGGTCCTAGCTAACAACATAAGACAAAGAAAATACATCAAAGGTATTCGTCTGGGAAAGGAAGAGGCAAAACTATCATTCACAGACTATATAATTTTATATATTGAAAATCCCTAAAACTCCTCAAGTGGAGTGTTTGAAGTGATAGAAGAATATAGCAGAGTGGCAAGAAACAAGATCAACAAACAGAAGTCTATTGGACCACTAGACACATCAGACAAGATCACAGAAGAGGCAATTAAAAAGGTAGCACCTTTATAATAGCCAAGCACACATTGAAATATCTAGGGACATATTTGACAAAAAAAAAAAAAAAAAAAGATTTGTATGAGTAAAACTACAGAACACTGATACAAGAAACCAAGGGTGATCTCAACAAATGGAAGCATATCCCATGCTCATGGATTGGAAGATTCAATACAGTAAAGACGTCAGTTCTGCGCAAGGCACTATATAAGCTTAATGCTATCCTGATACGAATACCATCCTCCTTCTTCAAAGAATTGGAAAAACAGATTACCAACTTCACATGGAGAAAGACGAAGTCCAGAATTAGCAGAGAACTCCTCAAGAAGGACAAAGTGGGAGCACTTGCTCTACCTGACTTTAGCAAGTATTCTACGGCCACAGTGGTCAAAACAGTGAGATACTGGTATACAGACAGATATTCAGACCAATGGGAAAGAGCTGAAAACTCAGAAATAAAAACATCAGCATACAGACAACTAATTTTTGATAAGGACCCAAAAAATATCAAATGGGAAGCAGATGACCTCTTCAATAAGTGATGCTGGAAAAAATGGATATCTATAAAATGGATATAATGAAGCAAGACCTTTACCTCACTCCAGGCACAAGAATAAACTCAAGGTGGATCGCAGACCTTGAGGTAAAACCCCAAACAATTAGGGCCATTAATGAGGGAATTGGGACAAACCTGAGAACGTTGGCACAGGGAATAGATAGGCTATTGGAAATAGGGAAGGATATAAATACAGAGGAGTCCCAAATTGACAAGTAGGATATACTGAAGATAAATCACCTGTGTACATCAAAAGAATTCACCAAGAGAGTAATAAGAGAGTCCACAGACTTGGCAAACATCTTTAGCAATGACACATCAGACAAAGACGTTATTACTAAAATCTACAATACTTTCAAGCTTACAATAAGAAACAAATTAACCTCCCACTAAAGAGGTAGGTAAAGGACTTGAACAGAAGTTTCACAGGGGCAGAAATTCGAATGGCTAATAAGCATTTTTGAAAAGGTTCCTGATCATTACCCATAAGAGAAATACAAATTAAAACAACAACGAGGTACCACCTAACACCCTCAAAGATAGCCCAATTCAAAAAATCAGAAAGTAACAAGTGCTGGAGGGGCTGTGGGGAGACAGGAACTCTCGTCCACTGCTGGTGGACATGAAGGTATGTACAGCCATTACGGAAATCAATCTGGCGGAAATCAATCTGGCGATATCTGAAACAGATGGAGCGTGAACTACCATATGACCCAGCAATCTCCCT